CCTTCAGTCTTCAGGCCACATACAGCATGAATAGATACTGTGAAACAAATCTCTGAGCACCCATAAGGAAGAAAGGATGGAAAGGAGAGATGAAGATATGGACAAAGCCACTTAAAATAAATTAGAGCACCTCCCTAGAAACTTCACTTTCACATTTCCAAAAGCAGTGCCCTTGAGTTTCAGTTTCTGTAGCGCCTGCATTTTCACTCAGGGCTCAGTAACCTTATCTGCTGATTTATGTACCACAAGCTGGATTCTGACCCAGTGCCAGCTTTACACTTCTGTACACTGACATGTGGTGTGAATGTCTGTGCTTAACACTGACAGGAAAAACACTGGGGCATGGGGACTGAAAAGCCAAAGCAAAGGGAGCCGAAGGGTATTTGGGTATATATTGGGTATTTTGAGACTCTGGCTAATATTAAGGGAAAAATAGAATGACTTTCTCTTTCAACTTCCATATTAATAGTTGAAAAACAAAATAAATGCTTCCAAATCGATCTGTATGAGTATTTCCACTGAAACAGTGTAAACATAAAAACATTTTGCTGCAGATGATCATTAGGCTGACGAAGCATATTTCATTGGAATATTTTTGATGTACAAACAGCTTCTCAACCAAGCAACATCTTAGGAAAAATTCTCCTTATTTTTTTTTCAGAATTTTCAGAAATGGAAACAAAATCATGAAATTGCTCAGCTTTGGAATGAGTGGGAATCAAATTTTCCTATGCTGCTGAAAATATCCTTTGATGTTAAGATTCATGGACTCAAACTCGAAGGCTGAAAGGCAGCAGCACGGCCATCTGGATGGATGTGTGCAGTAACAAAGGTCACAAGATCCTCATTAATTTTTGTTTCTAGCTCAAAAGCACAATATGAGCTTAACTATTTCTTAGAAAGATATGAAGTCTTCATTTAAGAAACTATAAGTACTGGATAGTTGACCTTGGCCCTGTATGAGGCTTTACCCCTGGGGTCTGAAATCCCATCTTTATTTCTTTTTCTTTTATAAATTAAAGGCACATTTTAAGTAGTTTTTGATCATTTACCCTCCTGTGTAATTAGATGCACAGACTGTAACAACGTGGTTTCTGTAGCAGTAAAACACCTGGGACAGTCTTCCTCTCAGCTTTCTGTGTTTACAAGGGAATTTTTATCTGACTTTATTCCACTAAAGGCTCTGGACCTTCTAAAGTCCAGCTGCAATTAGCTGCAAATGGCTGTGAATGAGACACACAGAGCAACGTGTGTAATGACTAACCTTCCACGGGCTCATAAAATATTTAGCAACTCAGTATTGCTTCAAGTAGTTGTATTAATCTAAGCTTGTGCATGCACATGCACACACAACAAACGGTAAATAGGGATGAGAGGTAAGTGAAAAGATTATTTCCTGTTTGTGCAACCACCTCTTTCTAACCTTCAAGATGTGTTTGAGAAAAGAGTGATGCAGGGTGTAGATCTTCACTGCCTTTTTAATCTCTCCTTTTCCTGAAGCCTACCTGTGTTTTGCAATTAACGCAGATAAAGTAGGACTGGCTGTGAGACTCCTTTAAACAATACAACTGTTTCCATGCATATCTTAGGATATCCTCCTCAAGTGTACACTAACACTAGCTATCTTCTACAAAGGAGAGTGTTTAATTCATATAAAATGGTATAGAATGGTACAAATGGCAACAATCACATCCTTTCATACAAAAATCAGAACATCAGGGGGAAAAAAAAAACAGTGTTTGTTTAATCCTGTCTTATGTTGTCTATCCTGTTTGATAGAGATTGAGCATGAATAAGAGAGGGATTTTCATTTATTTGTGAGTATTATTTCATGAATTCAGGATATAAATTTAGTCCAGAATCCTTTTCTCAGGGAAATTCTGCCTAAGCAGCATCTTCTCTGTTCTTGTTTGGTTGCTGCCTCTTCTGTAGAACAGGCTGGTGTGATTAATCCAAACAAGAGGGATTAATTGGACAACCTTCTGTGTCCTGCAAGCAGCTCAGGGAATTGGCAAACTATTATCTGCTCAGATCCTCTATTTCATCACATGAATCACCCTGCCTTGAGCATCACTCTATATAAAGTGAAAATGGAGAGGCTGCAAAGTGTCTCTCCTTTTTATTTATTGTGAGCACTTCTCAAAATATGTATCCACTTTATTATTTTTCCCCTTCCAGTTCAATTATTCCATGTTCTCAGAGCTGATTTTTCTTTGTAATTCACTTATTTTTAATTGGTGTAGAGTTCTGAGCTGCACCAGTTTTATAGAAATGAAATATCTGAAGAGCAGTTGAACTGTGTCTCTTTACGCCTCTGTAATTTCTCTTACTTCAGAAAGAAAATGTGCTTACTGCCACCGATCAGTGGATGTGGAATGCCTTAAAATTGCTGGGACAAAACCAAATGTCATTTATTACCCATTTTCTTAAGCTAGGAGGTTAAATTCTGATGTACGTTATCTAAATTTGGAGCAACTCCAGTTCTAACATTTTGACCACAATTTTTCCAAATTTTGCATGTGGGTGGCTGCATGTTTATACACAGTCACTACAGGTCAACAGCTTTCTGACGTTAAAACTATTTAATTTTTTGTTTATGATGCCTTGGCAAGGGTTCAGTGGTCCAACCCTTGTCAATGGTTGCTGCTAAGAAGACCTCATCCAGTAGCTTAGCTTTACTCTGATACAATTGATACGTAAGTTTAGTTACCCCTTTCACCCCTTCAGTTCTACTCTTTCTAAAATTTACTGTTTGAGTTTCTGAGTTGCAGTCTGAAAAAAAGGCTTGCTCCATTGTCCAAATGAAATTAGTTGGAATCATTCTGCGTACTTTGCAGGACATTATATCAGGCAGTTAATCACATTCCAGTCACCAGAAATCCCATTTACCCTTCTGGATTCCTTTTCCTCAGTACGTGAAGATATAGACAATAGTATTATCTGCAAAGTGCATATTGTGTACATTAATCCAACTGCCAATGCTGCAAAAGGGTCAACTGCTTCAGAGAGAGCAAAGAATAAAGTAGTACACCATGGGCACAATTCTTTGGATTGCCAGCTCTATGCAATAGATCACAGGGGATTTTCTGTAACTACCTTGAAAAAGATACTGAACGGGAGGCAAGAGTCCATTACTGGCAGAAGAAAAGGCCTGTCAGAAAACCCCAGGCAGCAAGGATGTAGCTAAGATCAGTACAAGAGAAAGTTTCTGCAATCCATCAAGAGAACTGTGTGCAGGTGACCCACGAATCACCTCACACCATTGTACTTTGCAGCAGGCAGTCCTTGTTGGAATTGCCCCTCTGGGCGATGAAAGCACTCTATGTGACACCTGCGAATTTGCCCTTTACTGCTGCAAACCCAAGCTGTTAAATATCACGCTCTTTTGGCTGTGATTTACTCTATTTATGGCCCTCCCTCCACCCAACCTTTCCTCATCGCAAGGGATCAATTCTGGACATACAACAAAAGGCAACAATGGTTTTAATAAAAAACAGAAGGACAGGAAAGATTGATTTAGCCAATGAAGATATGCTGTACCAATGGAGAAAAAGAAAGTGGGCAGACAAGAAAGAATAATAACGATAAAAAAAGCACATTGTGGCATTACCAACCCACATCTACAGTAGATGAAATCAACTGCTTTCTTAATATCCCTTGTTTGTGCTCTATTCAGCAACTATTCTAATTTAAGGATCAGTATCTAAAAATGTTCCTAGTCTTCTATTTGACAAGAAACTACTTCAAGGAAGAAGTATAGTCCTGTAAGACCTATAAGTCTTGATGTAGAAAAGTTAATTTCTCTTGTGACCTTGTGAAAATCTTCCTTAACTTTTGTGTTATTCTGCTTTAGCTAGAAGGAGGAGAGTAAACAATTCCAGGCTTCCCAATGTGCTGTCAAAATAAAGTCCACTCAGAACTCCTTTGAGAGTGTTATGAAAACATGGCCACTGAAATCTTCTTTAACAAAGAGAAAAATGTGCTATATCTGAACATACAGTTATTTCCAACGCACATTACTGTAAATATTTACAAATCCTTTTCTCTTAGAACCTTACAGCTCAGTTTTCATAATGGTTCAGTAAACATAAACTGTAGATAAATATACATATCTACCAGAAACCCCCCATCAGAATTCCAGTAGTGGAACTAATATTACAGTACAAATACGGTCAGTTGGAGAGGGCAATAAAACAGATTACCATATATAACTGTCTCTCAGAAACCAATTTGCCTTTTATTATGCTACTGAATGAAATTATTACATGATCTATAGATTATTGAGTCCTGTGATGATTCAGGACAGAAAGGCATGATGCTGTACCATTTATTTTTATATATATATATGTATATGTAGTTACTGTCTCCTTACTTAGTACTACACTTTGCACAGTGAGAGTACAGAAGATTGCAGTACTCAGATCTATTACTGTGATTAAGTAGTTGCTTACAGAACCATGGATATCACTGTAGTAGCCAGGGTCCAAATCATTTGCTCGTTCTCAAGGCGTGAATTTCTAACAAAGAACACACACTCCTTTATTATCTTGAACTGAGTACTGCAGGTGATACATATTGGAAATGATTTTGATCACCAGAACAACAAACTCATTGCAGAAAATCATGCAGACAGAGGTCTGTGTTCATACATGATGGAGGTATAAGGTTCAACAGAGCTGTACGTTGATGGATGATTTACAGTGAAGCTCAAATGCACCACTGTCTTTCACACTCACCCAAGGAATGAGGTACCCAGAAGCTCTAAGACCCAGTTCCAGCCTATCTTCAGCCTTGACAAATACTACAAATAATGTATCTTTTTGGTTAAGCAAATTCTGTCCTGCTCTGCTGTAGGCATGGAATTGGATAAAACCTGAACTTGATAATTTAACATATAACACGACTTCCGAGTGATCAGACAAACCTTATGTTAAATTTCATTTCATGAAGTGGGAACCTCACAAGACATACGTTGCTATAAACAAACTGATAAGAATTACCTGTGAAATGGACTCTTATTTCAGGCACTATTTGCTCAAAAGTTCTGCAAAACATGCAAGCAGGAATCGAGGATGTTTTTGTTTTGCCATGTCTATCAGGTAGCTCATCAGAATCACGCTGTACAATCTCCTGTGCCAGGATTCAGCCACCTTGCCATCTGTAATCATCTGCAAAACCAAAACATGTTCTCAAGTTAAATAAATCTTTAATAGCTGGAGTCCACATTGTCGTCTCAGTGTGCACACAACGACATCTCTCTCTCTCATAAAGCAGTGCTAGAAAACCATCAAGAAGTGCAAAAGTCAGTCTTGGAATTTGCTGCCATTCATGTGAAACAAATGTGTTCCTCTGCACCCTCAACAGCAATGTACTTTTCAAAATAGCCCATGGCAAAATTTTCAAGAAAAATTAAACTAACTACCACACAAAGCCGCCTTTGGCAGGAGGCTTTTGATTTCATGTCTTTGAAGAAACATTATACTCCATGGAAGAGAAAGAAGAAATACCTGCCAAAAGAAAGTATCCTTGTTCCTTCCTCACAAGTCCCTTATGTATGCACAAATGCATCAAAGTATACAGCTTAGTAACAGAATTTCATCAACCCTTAAGAGGGCATTTTTGAATAAATAAAAACAGGTTTATTTGATTATTTATTTATTTATTTATTTATTTATTTATTTATTTATTTTTGCACAAAAGCAGAAAGGTCCAAAGATTTCAGCAACAGAATCTTAAATGTTTTTTATGCAGTTCACATTCTTGTGGACTTGAATTTATAATGAAAAAGAGTGGAATGCTGGTTTATCAGGTAGTATGGATGGCATCCATTTCTGCTGCAAAGAGAAAGTAAAGCTAAGCTGAGTCTTAACTGGTACCTAGGAATGATCTTTGCTCTCTTAACAAATACGGATTTTGTCCAATTGGAGTGTAGGTGCTTAAGAGCAAGAATATAGGATTTATATTTGTGCATATAGAAAAACATTATCACCTTTAAGTTTCTGGAAAATATTATTAATAAGCATCATTTGAAGCATTAAAATAACCATAATAAATTGAACCTAATTTAAGGCACAACAGTTAATTTATGAGAGTGCTGTCTATTACCAGAGATAGAGACATAATATTTTCCTGCCCATCTTTTGGTGAGATTCAAATCCTCCTCTTATTTTACCCCAAGAGTCTACATTAATTCCTGTGGAAATAATAGAACATTCCAGATTCATTTCACTGAGCTTGAGAGAAAATGTGCCCTTCTTAATTAAGCACGCACCAAATTTGTTTAGAAATGAATTTTTTAAAATGAAATACAATATATTGTAATGCCATATTATCTACAATATAGAACTCCAGAATGGGAAAGCAGAATGGGAAATTTAGAATTAACACTATAATTGAAGAATGTAGATGAAACGTGATTTGGTCACTACAAAATTTTCATTTTGGTAGATGTTGTGTAAGTATCTCGACCTCTCTGTTACCCACCTACAAAGTAGTACAAACTCTGAAGGACTCAAAGCCTTTTTAGAAATTCAATTTGCGTAAAGCAAGGTAGAAAAGCTTTAAGAAAACCCAACCCTTGCTATTCAAAGCATGAATGCCCCTTCAACCTAGTATTTCTATTGAATTTTCAGACTCTTCTTATGAATACATGTCGGGCACTCTGGCATGCTGCTAGGTTAAGGGTTCTCCCATCTATTGATCTCAGTACAATAAGAAGTAATCAGAGCTACTGAAATTTGATTTTTATGTGATGGAAATGTGCTGAATCATAGCTTATTGTTACAGCTGTGTGTTTCAGAAACATTTATAAAACGGGTAGGAAGAGGGCTAAATCAAATCATATTCAATGCATGTAGGATAAATGTCTTTAGAAGGCACTGAAGGGTCATCAGAAACAAACCCTGTATGGAGAAAGAAGTCCCTACGACAATCATCAAAAAGAGCGTGGGCAGTAAAGTGCACAGAAAAAAATATGGAAAAGGTGATGAAATAGTAAAGTACACAGTAAATGTAATGGCATAGCTAGAGAAAATAGCAAGTCACTAACTTGCTATGAGGGTATGAATTTAGAAGTACGAATGTAGACATTTGTACAGAGAATATGCAGCTATTAGGAGAGGGATATAAGATGTCTATATATATTGTCTATATATAGATCTAGTTACACTTATAAATCCAATGCACATTATTTCAAATCGACAAAACCAAATCACTATGGAAAAAAGTCAACAAATGCAGCATATTCCCCATGCTGAGTCTCAGTTTTATGTGGTAAGTAAGCTTTACTTTTCATTTAAAAATTCAGATAGGTTTTAAAACATAGTATCTGTTTTTAAAATGCAAAAATACAAATAGTAACCAGTTCTCCATTACTTACCCATTACTTCTATTTCTTTCTCTGAGCTGGGTTAGTGGGTATAAATACTTCATGAGAATCTTATTTATAGAGGCTCAGATAAAATGAAGCCTTGAAACCAAAAATATTAACTCTGGGATCCCTGGTATAATTGGTTGTCTGTAAGTATAAGAGTTAGTATGAAAGTACATTAATATATCATAAATCATGATTTAGGACAAAATGAAAATTGTAAAAGCTGAAGGCCATCATTTTTTAAAGCAAACAAACAATAAGCTCAGTTGTATCTAAGAGCAACAGAAATATCATTGGTTTCCTTTGTGCCAGGTTCACAAAAAGGATCAGTGATAGTATAGTTTGAAGAACATTCTGGGTGACAAAGATTAATATTATTGTTAATATTGTTGTGATTATGTATTAGTGGGGTATCATAGTGACACACAAATTAAGTACTATTAATTAGCTTCTACATTTCACCCTAGAGATGGCATCATTTCAGAATTTGCTAACAAGAAAACTAATTAGTGTTAACTTAGCTTAGATGATGACTTCTGTGGTCTGGATATCTGCCCAGAAGGGGCTGGATGCAAATCCTCGAAGCCATTTCACAAAGGTAACATATTCACGTAGTTCTTCATAGTTAAAGTGAATGGAGAACACAACAAGGCCTTTGGTCATATTGATCTCCATCACTGATAGTGGCAATTCCAAACCAGCCCCAAACTCAGAGCATAGCTGGAAGTGCCACTGCCCCAACATGGGCCTTCCTGCTGCCAAGAGCTGCCAAAGTTTGCAGGCAGCAAAGAGTACTGCTTGCTATTTGTTGGGACATCTTGTGTGATGACAAACCCAACAGGAAAACATCAGTCTATTTCATTTCTTGGTGTGAAATGATGAACACGGCTCTAAACAACCAAACAGCCTCAATTAAAAGAGGTGAGTGCTGGCATTTAGAGATCTGCGTGTCGGTGTTTTTGCTTCTTGCAAAGTGGCTGTGAAACTAAACCTTACATTTGCTAACAGCTTAGAAAGTGAACTGCATGTGGCCGTGGAGTCCCAGCTCCATGGGTTTGAGCAGGGCAGCACAAATGGCTGCAGGGAGCAGCTGTGGAGGTCTGCGCTCATGGCCAGCCCACAGGGAACAGCCTAAGGGAACTGAAACTGCAGCTCCCAGCTAATTGAGAGGAAAAGAGACATAAATAGGAATTTCCATCCTTTGGGAGACTCTGGACCATCGCTTGGGAGAGGTGAGCGCAGCTTGAGATGTGACTGTTCCAGTCTGTGGGACCAGAAGATGACAGCAAAGAAGGCAGAATCTTCTGGAACCGCCCAGGCGGGGCCAGCCCCACCCATCCTGAGGGCAGGCAGAACTCCATCCCCATTGGCTGGGGGGAGGCAGGATGCGGTGCTATTGGCTGGGGCCAGCTGTGGAGGCGGGCTCAAGCAGAGGGGCATGAGGCACCTGAGGGCAGCCGCCATTTGCAGCCCCTCACAGCAGCAGAGCCATGCACTGTGTGTACTGCAGTCCACTTAACCACCCTCGTGTTTCTTGTTCTGCTCCCTTTGAAGGGCCACCGTTAGGTCTTAAAAACAGGCTGGCGTTTGTGTAATCGCTGCTGTATTTTCTAGCAGCGCTTTGGAGGAGACATTAATGTGCTGCCCAGCACCAGCCATGGCACCGCACGCTGCACGCATCGCTCCTGCACTTTATTTCTGTGAGATTAGATAATTGATTGTGCTCTTCCTGCGAGTGAGTCAGAACCCATCAAGACAATTGCTTGAGCTTCAAAGGGCTTTGTAGAAAGAAATCCCATGTATTGATTTGTTCAGTAAAACAGAGCTTTCAGCAACGGGAGCTGCATCTTTCCAGAATGGTTCTAAAAGGGAGGAGAGAACAGAGCAACTTTGGAGGTGATGCTGGAATGCTGCGTTCCAGTTGTGTCAGTGTTCAGCCAGCACTGCAAAATTCCACTTTCCGTTTATTTTTACGGAGGAGCAAGAAACTCTCCTACATATTTTTGTTTATGTCAGAATTTAGGCAAGCCTTCATTTTGTCACTGCACTTATACAGCCGTACCAATGGAAAAGCAGCAGAAGTTTCTTACAGACGTGAGAGTTTGAAAGATCTTCTCCTTTTCTAGGCATTAAAACACATCTCTCTTCAGAGGCCAGAGCACATCTTTTGTGCTTTCTTACAAAGGTGATGAGACCTTTGTTCCTTGGAGCACCCCTGGCACAGCACTGAGTTTCACTTGGAGTTGATGCTGTGGGTTAAATACATGCTTATGTTTTGTTTTCAAACCATTTTTGTATTGGTGTGTTCTCTCCCATGAGAGCATATATCCTCAGTGCTCTGTGTGCACCAGGAGAGAACATCGGTTTCGGTGCTTGCTAGAAACAAACAAAACCAATTTGTCTCTCATATAACCATTTTCCTTTAAAAACTAAGTTGGCTATATGAAGTAAGTAGATGTAAGTTATTTAATTCCTACTTTACTATCTGTTTTCTTAAATTTGTGGTGTTCCCCTCCTAACACCTCCTTAAAAATGAAACAACAACAAAACCAAAGGAGGTATCAGGAGCGTTAATAATTGATGAAGTATTTGTAAACCCTTAGCAAATGAGCAGTCAAGTGACACATGAATAAAACATTAGAAAATACGTCTCTGTCTGACAGCTAACAGCATTCTGAAGCCAAGCATAAAATACACAGGTATTATATTAATGCAGTATGTGTGTAACATGAAAAGTAAGGCTGGAGGATGCGCTGGACCTCTGTTTTGTTTGTGTGTTTTGGGCAGGGAAGGTTGCCTGCAAAAGTACTCCAGTGGTTACCCTGTTTAAAACCCTTTCCAGAGGTTTCAGAACAGTTGGGATCTCATCCCTTCAATAGCAGCCCCTGTGCATAGCTTCTGCATTGCTCTATTCCTTAATACTTGCTGTGAGATTAATACACTCCCTGACACTGACTTTATACTGATACAAAAGCTCTTTTATTGGCATTACTTCTCTCAATTTACTGAAGTAATATTATCATGTTAGTACTATTTCACTATTATTTCACCATAAAGCTTTTGCACTGCCGTGCACTCATAAATCTGTCTGCTGCTTCTCGCCATGCCACAGTAAGTGCAAAATGAAAATCATGCATGCACGAAATACACAATGCAGTGACTAATAAATAGATCTGAAATTGACCTGAAATAGCCCACAAAGTACCCACCTTTCCCATTTGCAGATAGCACCTTCCTCTTTCCTTCCATCAAATAATCAGAACATTTCCTTACAACAGTTTCTAAACAAAGAGATAAGAGGTGCATCCACTCTCAAAAAAAAAAAAAAAAAAAAAAAGGCATTAAGATTTCATCATACTGCCAATGAAAGAAGATTTAATTAATTTGCTTTACCTATCTCAGCTTGCACTAGACAAACAGAAGAAGGCTTTTAGGGAAGAATATTAAATGTGGAATATTTAAGCAGAAATTACTGCATAATATCGAGCATGTTAGTTGCCATGGATGGGAGTGAATCAAAATTCTAACATCCGAACTCCTCCATTCCTGAGTTGAGAGAAATGATGGATATTGAAATGCATGTTAAAGGCAGAAAACCAGTGACTTTGTCCTGGGAAAAAGCATCGCTCAGGAATTTCGATGCTACACCGCTAAATATAAAAGCATCTTTTGGTTGAGATTTTTTTGAACGCATGTAGCCTGCAAACCATGAAAAAAAGTGTTCTTTTTGAGATCCACGCTCACACATTTCTGCTGAGAAGCTTTGCAGCCACACAGCGCAGGGCTGTCACTGCTGTTTCCTCTAAAAGGTCATCAGAAGCTCGCGAGGTGGTGCTTCCATTACACTCCTCTCTTTTTGTGTTTCCATTTCCAACTTATAGATTTCCTATACATTTCAATTAGTCTTCCCCCACCTCAGATAAATACATCGCTGGGGTAGCAAAGGTTGAACAGAGCAACTGCAGAAATAATTACTTGTTTGATAACTGGTGTCTTTCAGTGGGGGCGTCAGATTTGACTTTTATAGTGCAGACATTGGCAGAGGAAAGGGAGGTATAGGAAGAACTGACAGAGCTCTCATGCAGTTTTGATTACAAGTCAGAAAGCATGTTTAGCTGTCAAACGTACTGTTAGAGAAAGCCACCACAAAGGAATAAAAGGACGGAAGAAGAAAAGAATCTCCCTTGCTCAGGAATGTTTGTACATTTTAAATGACAGTTTGAAATGCAGAAAACGCTTGACTGAATCTTGCATTATTATCTTTTTACTTCAGTTCTAATACGAAAAGGCTTGTGAGAAGTGTGTCCTGATGATCCTGTCATTAGAGACACTGGATCTCAAAGCTAAAGACTTGTAATTCTAATGAAAAACAGCTAGAGAGAGGAGAATAAATATAAAACACCAAGTTCTGCTTTTCAAAGCACCGAAATAAAATTCTCATGTAGAATTTATTGTTAAGGGAGACGGTTTAAGCACCATCAAGCCAGCAGATCTTCACAGGTTTTTTCACCAGGTAGAAAAAGGAACCAGCTTCCAGTTCTGATAAATAAACTGCTTTAGGTAGACAGTTAATAGCAGGTCCATATTAATATGAAATAACAAGTGCTCCACAAACAAATTTCATAAGCAATCTTTTTTACCGCTTCTTTTATTGTAGCTAAAGATGTTGCCAACTTTTGTTATATTGCATAGCATTGCACAAGACAGAAATAAAATGAGAGGCAGTGTTAATAAGTTGTTAGGATATTTTTCTGGTGGTGTGGTGGAAGCACCAGGAAATGCTTTGTGATGATAAATCCTGCACGCTATTGTAATACAAATGCTATAAAAACGACAAGGAATTGCTTTATGAAAGGAGTGTCTCACAGGTCAAGTAAACACATTACAGTTTCCTAAAGAATCTTTAAATTCATATTTTCAGGTTTTCAATGCGATAGGAATGTCAGGAATTTAGGCACTATACTCAGCCTTGAGCCCTGCACCATACAGCTGAGATGGAACTTCCTGGAGGACCTTTGTAGGAAGGTGGATTTCCCTCAGTGTGTACTTTATGACCCAAAGCACACAGTATACTCATTGCTTTTGATTTTACATTTTCAGTTCTCCCTTCACAGGAATTAAATGCTACTGGCTTTTTGGTTAGCATCTTAATTCAGATAAGGAGTGTGCTTTTGAAGTAAATTGCCTGATCGTCTCTTTTTCCTGCCTTGGATGACATGTGGAGTGGGCTCAGAGTGTATAAACTAGATTGGTTACAAAGCCTTGCTCTTGTACCTGGGAAGAGTAGGGATAAGATGCAGTTTATAAGTTTAAAAAGGCGAGAATGGACCTCCACGATGCTGACAGCCTGATTTCTATAAAATAATATTATATATATATATATAATATAAAGACAGAGGACACTTCCCCGTAAACCAGATAACATTTTGATGTATGAGATGCCTGTTGGAGAGATATAATTTCTATTTAAAGATGGCAGGTACCAATTAACCACACCATCTCTACATACATTATTCAAGTTGCTCATTATCCTTACAGTTAACAAAAAAAAACGAGTTGATCCCCGGATCATTATTACTGCAGGATAGAAGTGAGGGCAGTTCTACCATCCCTGCAGCTCAGCTCTATCCGCAGAGTTTGTGGTCATTTCCAGTTGGGTGATTCTGCATTGGTTCCTCTGATGTCCCTCTGTTCCTTTGCATTTACACTCCATGGAAGTGAGCAAATCTGCCCAGAGAGGCTGTGGATGCCCCATCCCTGGAGGTGTTCAAGGCCAGATTGGATGGAGCCCTGGGCAGCCTGGTCTAGTATTAAATATGGAGGTTGGTGGCCCTGCATGCGGCAGGGAGTTGGAGATTCATGATCCTTGAGGTCCCTTCCAACCCTGGCCATTCTGTGATTCTGTGATTCAAACTACACACCAGACCCAATGTCTCCAGCACCACTGACAGTGCTACTCTCTCCAGGCAGTTTCTCAATGAACATTTACTAATAGAGTATTTTACAATTAGCAGTTGTTCCATTACATATTCAGGAAAGATAGTAAGCAGGTATAAATCTTTGGTTTCATCTCCATCAATATTTCTGTCCCTGCCTGTCTCCTTAATTGCTATTGACTACAGAAGGTATTTTTTCGTTGAGGCATGAGATAAATTGATATTGATTACAGTAAATGAACTTTTCTGTAGTCAGAGTCAATTGGGAAGGTACAGAGAAGAAACTGCAAGCATGTTTACGCTGCACATGAGTAAAATTCCTCTTTAGAAACTCTCTGACCTACTTCCTCGTGCTCAA